GAGATGGCTGAGCTCCTGCCTCCTTACCTTTGTTACGTTGTGCTGCTGCAGCGATGCCAGCTCATAGGGATCCACATAGACTCCCCGTGGCAGGTGAGTTCTAGCAGCCACCGTGCATCCTTCTGCCCACTGCCCCGTCCCACTCAGCTCCACTTTCACCAGCAGCTCCCTTAAAGCAAACCACGGGGGCACAGTGCTGAAACCTGCATGTTAAGAGACAGCAGAAAAACCTCCACGCTGTCAAATGCTCAGAGATGGGCGCAGATGGAAGAAGGAACAGATCAATGAAACATCCCAGGCTGGATGTGGCTCTGGGCAGCCCGGTCTGGTGGCTGGTGACCCCGCACGTAGCAGGGGGTTGGAACTGGATGAGTATCGCTGTCCTCTTCAACCCAGGCCATTCTGTGATTTTATGTGGGTGCCTCATCCCTGCAGGTGCCCGAGGGGCGGTCGGACGGGGCCCTGTGCAGCCTGCTATGGTGGGGCAGACATTCTGGGCCGGGGCTGCAGGGTCCCCCCGCCCCACACCGCTCCGTCACCCAGCCGCAGCCGCAGCCCCGAGCCCCGCCCGGCGGCCCCACCTGTGGAAACCCTCCTTCAGCAGCTCCTGCGAGACGGCGCTCCCGCGGCAGGCGGCCTGCACGTCTGAAACGGGACAGAAGCAGTGAGCAGCGGCACCGAGAGCACGGCGCGACCGGGCGCTACGCCGGGCACTTACGGAGGGCACAGAGCAGCACGCCCAGCCCCGGCCGCCAACGCCCGGCCGCCATCTTGGAGCCGCCCTGCATGGCCCCGCCTCACCTCAGGGCCGGGGCTGCCCGCAGCGCCGCCTGATTCTCGTGGAGGCTGCGGGCGGCCATTTTGTGTCGCGTCCTGCAGGCACGTAGAGGGGACAGCCCGGGGGGGGCTTTGGCGGGAGGACCCCTCGGTTACCGCGGCAACGGCTGAGGCCGCCCTGCCCGAGGCGGGGGGGGGGCGAGGGAGGCCGGGCCGCTGCGCTCAGCGCCGGCCTGAGAAACCTCGGGTGCGTCCGTTCCTCCGGCAGGGACTGGCAGCAGCTGGGTTCCCGGAGATGGGAATTCCCCTTCCACTCGCTCGGCGGCCCCGCTGGTTTGTGCCCGTGGTTAATCCCTGCCCTGGGGGGAGGAGGACGCAGGCCGGGCGCTGCCCCCTGAAGGAGGTGAGGCCGTGGTGAGGGCTGTGCTGTGCTGTGCTGTGCTGTGCTGTGCTCCGAGCCGGGCCGGGCCGGGCCGGGCCGGGCCGCAGAGCAGCATCCCAGGCTCTTTCCATCCCCGTCATTTCCATCTGACACTAACAGGGTCACAGCCGACAGCAGAGCTGCCATGAGGGGTTCCTAAGTGGGATCAGGTGGAAAAATGGGCTGCCGATGCCAGCCATGATTCTGGTGGTGAACTTTCTAACCTGATTCATTCACAGCTGACCAACACACTGAGACACCTGAGAGTTTTGCAGTCCTTACCTAACTGTGAGCTAATCCATAACAGTCTGTTCTCCATCCACCTATAGGAACACAGCTACAGATCCACTGGGCCAAATGGTTCTTCCCCACTCCATCCTCTTCTCTACCTCTCAGGTATGGCAAAAGCTCCCTGTTCCTTCCCACTGAACCCAGAGGAAACCTTACAAAAACAAACTTGCTGCTCTTCCTCTTACAGAGTTGTTTGTTTTTTTTGTTTTCTTCTAAAAAAGGGAATTCCAGTGTTTAATAAAGTATGCATGCAGGCTTCTCCCTTGTCATATGAAATATCTTGTAGGTATCGTTTGACTGTGCAATACTCAGCTGGTAGACCAAAAATTTCACTTGTGTGTGATACAGAATCCTGATTCAAAAGCTGAGAGATGATAAGGGTGTAAATCAGCCATCAAGAGTCACCCTGCACCCCATGCCCAGCTCAAAGAGCACGTGAGATGTGTTCACGTTCCCCTGAGGTCTGGGAGAGCTGTAGCCTGGTTGTGTATTTTTGCTGAACGTGGGTCACTCTAATCCCAACAAAAGGCTAACGAAACGCTCATGCTTTTTCCCCCCTTTTTTCCAGTTCTTCAGTGAGTGCTGAAGTTGCTGAGGACTTCTCTGATACAGCTGAGCACACTTCAGCCAGCAGCAAGCACTGCAATGACTTGCATCGCAACGAAGTGCGGCATTCGCTTTCAGCCTCCATCTGTGATCCTGATCTACAAGGACAAAGACAAGACTCGCCGGCGCATCATGCCTGTCAGAAATTTCTCCCAGTTCTCAGGTGTGTTGTTTCCGTACAGCATTCTCCAGTTCCTCTCCACACACAGGGAAAGGAGCAGCTGGTCACAGCACCAGTCAGTGGGGAGCATGCAGTGGGCAGGTTTGGGGTAACGCTGTCTCTCCGAGGACAGCATTTTAACCTGAGCAGCAGTGCTGCTAAACCTGCAGGCCTCACCTGTAAGGACTAGGGAGAGAATCTACTTAAAGAGCTTTGCTTGCCTTTGTAATTCTTCAGGGTGGTTTTGTTTTTAGATTGTGGCATCGCTGCTGAGCAGCTGAAGAATAACCCTCGGCACAAAGCTTACCTGGAAGGAGTCTCACTGCGTCAGCTAAAGAAGCTGCACAGTTTGCTGAGAGGCCACCTGAGGGGAGAGAGTCTGGCTGAGAGCCTGGAAAAGATTCAGCAGGAAGAGACAATTGACCCCGAGGAGGACATGAACAAACTGGACGACAAGGAGCTAGCCAAAAGGAAGAGCATCATGGATGAGCTCTTTGAAAAGAACAGGAAGAAGAAGGATGACCCAGACTTTATCTATGACATTGAAGTAGAATTTCCACAAGATGAGCAGCTGGAGTCCTGTGGCTGGGATGTAGAATCATGTGAAGAAGTCTGATTCCAGACCAAGACAACCATGGGCAGAGACAAATCCCATATTCCTAGGAGAGAACAATGTCATCCTGCTTCCTCCACTGCAGCATCTTCTGTTTGTGCAGTTGATGCACTTTACACTGGCCACAGAGGATCTGAGGCCTAAGATATTACAGCAGTTTCAGGTTTGTATACATTTTAAGAAGTTGAACTGAGAAAGCTGAAATGGGACAGCTGAACTTGGTGGCTGTTTTTACTCTTTTTCCTATGTAAGATGCCCAAAATACTTTTAAATAATTTATCTTTCATTTGTTTACATCTCAGTCAGCTCTGGCTGAAAACCTCACCAACATGTTTTCCTGTGATTTCAGCTCTGTCTGAAAATGAAATGTTAAATGTTTATGTGTTGGAAGCAATATTACATTTTATTGTATGCATATGGCATTTATTACTATTTGTTGGAATGTTAAATGTACATTCAGATAAATCAGTGTTTCAATGAGAATATTACTCTCACGTTCCCTCAGTAGAGGTTACATGTGCAGTTTCAGGTTGCACAGATTAAATCCTTCATTTTAAAGAACTGAATATTTAAAAAACAAGTTAGTTTTGAAATAACTTTGGGGATGCAGTGAATTCCAACCGACAGAAGGAGACATTTTCCTTCCTTACACTGCCAGGGATGGTGTTCACCTCTCAGAAAATGTGCTTACATTATTTGAAAAAAATGTGTATGGATAGTACAATAGAAAGTCACCAAGCCTAGGAGTGGTTTTAGGGTAAAACAAAGGCTTTGCCGCTGCTTCTTCATCAGACTGCAGTTCCCAGCTCGCTCTAGGCAGTGCCAGGGAGGCTCCTCATGATAAACCCTATGTGAGCAAAGCCTTGAGCCAACGATTGTGGCCTGCAAAGTGACTTTTTAATTGATGATGGTTAACAGAAGAAAGAAGCCCAACTTGTCTCAGGCTGAATGTAAATATCTAGCAGCAAGAAAAATCCCAGGCTTCATTCACCAGCTGAGGCTGTCAGATCTGAGTGTGGTTTGAGGGCACAGGGCAGCCTGCCACAGAGGGGGGGGATGCAGGCATCTCCTTCCTTTGCAGGCCAGGCATGCTGTGTGGGTGATTTATTGCATTCTGGGGGAAAGATGCAGAGTGCCACTTGCTTTTGCTCTCCAACAGACTTATATATTATGTCTCAATGTTCCAGAGATGCCTCCCCCACTAAAGAAACAACTTTCCCTAAGAAAAAAAAATGCTCCGTGAGCAGCGGAGCGGCCCAACGCCTCAGCCTTGCTAATACAGGGGTGTGAGGGGCCAACAAAAATACCTGCAGTGGCACAAGAACCAGGTGCTGAGTCTGGCTCTGAGGCATGCTGAGGGACATTTCACCCTGCTTGCTTGTTGGGTCAAGGTTGCTTTTTTTATGAAATGGGTTTTAAGTTTGCTTGTCATCAAATCTCTGCATTTCATCATCATTTGCTGTGCACACTTCCTCCAGCATACTCATTTATTAAGGCTGCACAGCCCGTGTTCTTACCCTCCATATTTTGGACCTTGAGCAATACAGGCATCTCCCACTGCCTGAGGATGCTGATTTGTTAAAACCAGATTTTTGCGGTGGCTTTTTGCATGAATATTGCCAAATCTCAGCCAGCCTCTGTGTCTGTTCATCCCACCGATTTCGTGTCCTGCTTGCCCACTATCCAGACTATGACAGCCTCACCTGCCTGCAAGAATACAGGTGAGGACGGTGCACATCTGCATCCACATACCAAGGCCAGAGCTGGCAGAGAGATACCAAAACGGGGCTGTAGTGCCTGGAACCAGTGGGAGCAGCTGGAGGACACCCCAGGCCTGTCACTGTAGGTCTCCACCATCCCTTGGGTGAGCTGCTCATGAGCAGAAGAGCAGCTGAAATAGGCTGAAGGATCCCCCAGCCGGCACCTCATCTTCTTTTGGCTATTTCTATCTGAAATAGGGCCAAAAAAAATGGTCATGTGCAATGGTGGATGTGATGGCCTTCTCCAAATCTTTCCGGTGCTGTGCCTGGCTCTGCTTCTGCAGCATCCCATCCTGTAGCTCCACGCTCAGAGCTTGCCCCGTTGATCACAAAGCACACAACAACCAGGAAAGATAAACAGATGAAAAAACATTACCAGAAATATAATTTATTCTTGTGTCTTTCGGCCAGTATTGTACATTATTGAGGTTTGAGGTTCTGTCTCACTGGCACAGCAGGCACTGCCAGCAGTGGTGCCACCACCAGTGCAGTGTAGGACAGGGACCGTGCTGCTGGGGGAATGGCCACTGTCCCAGTCCTTCTGTTCTTAGTGGTTTACCCTAAGGCTGAAGTTTCACTGACAGATCCAGTGAAATAGATCTGCCGTTCTTCCCTGTTTTACCTTTTCACATGTGGATTGCAGCCCTTGCCCTCCAAAACACGCAGATGTGAAACGTTCACCATGGAAGCTCACCTGCACAAGCGCCAGTTTCGTGTTGACCGCCAGGCATGTCTCTGTGGTCACATATGGAAGGCGACCACAGCGGTGTGAATAAATAAAGGCAAGCACCCAGGCAGCCCAAAACGCCACTTCTGGGCCACCAGATGGATGCAAGTTCTCAATCCCTTCCCCTGCTTGCTCGCCTTCACTCCCAAGAGGGCCCTGCCTCCTCCTCAGCCATCAGTACGGGCTGGACACCCCGCACCGCCTCTTCACCATTTTCAGCAGCTTTGGCTTCAGCACGAGGAAGACCACAGTGAAGGCCACCAGCAACGTCAGGCACGTGGGCAGGGCGAGCACCAGGTAGAGCAGAGCCATGTTGGCCGTCCTCCAGCGGCAGTCCCGCAGGACGGGCTCGGGCAGCACCCAAGCGCTCAGCTGCTGCGAGTCGTAGTTGCAGGTCACCTCGCGCCCGTCAGGGACACGCAGGTGCTCCATGCGCTGCAGGGCCTCCCACCAGCCCAGCGTGCAGCAGTTGTAGGGGTTACGGCTGAGGTAGAGCTCCCGCAGGCTCCTCCCCAGCGGCCTCCATGCCACGTCCGCGGGCAGAGCTGTCAGGCTGTTGTCCCGCAGGTCGAGGCTGCGTAGCTTCAGTGCGCCCAGCGAGGCAGGGAGGGCGGTCAGGGTGTTCCCCGACAGGTCCAGTCCCACCAGGCTCTGGAGGGCCGAGAAGTCCACCGAGGTGGAGGAGAGGTTGGTGTTGCGGAGGGACAGCACCCGCAGCGTCGCAGCCAAGTCCCGCAGCCACCCCAGGTCCCCTGACAGAGCCTCCCGGTTGTCAGAGAGGTCCAGGTGAGTCAGGGCCGTCCCTCGAAAGGGGTGGCCGCCCAGGTCCCGCAGACCACAGCCGGCCAAGGAGAGGCGGGTCAGGGTGGCCAGGCCCCTGATGTCCACGCAGGGAGCGCTCCGGCCCAAAACGGCCGCCTGGGGACACAGGTCGAGGCGGTTGTAGCTGAGGTCAACTGTAGTGATCTGCTTTGTGTGAGTGAAGATGCCGGCAGGAAGCGCCCGCAGCATGTTGGTGCTGAGGTTGAAGAGCTGCAGGTTGGGCAGGGCGGGCCCGGCGCCCGTGTCCTCCCACAGCTCCGTCAGCAGGTTCTGGCTGAGGTCCAGATCCGTCAGCATGGCCAAGGGGACACGCTGGAAGGTCTCCAGACAGTTCTGGTTGAGCTTCAGGTGGGTCAGAGCAGGCATCTTGGCCAGGAAGCCCTCCGGCAGGTACCAGAATTGGTTCTGGCTCATGTCCAGGAGGCGCAGGGAGGAGAGGTTGCTGTAGTAGACTTCGTCCCACAGCTTGACCGTTGTGATGTTGGTGGAGTTGCCATCGATGAGCAGGAACTGCACGGTGACATTCTCCAGGGACGTGCCGTTGGGGAGAAGCTGGTAAAAGCTCATCTCGTTGTCTTTTAGCAGCAAAGAGTGCAGCTTGCTCTGCCGGGGCAGCACGGGGAAAAAAAGGAGCTGGTTGTGGGACAGGTCCAGCACCTCCAGCTCAAAGAGGTCATCGTTTTCCAGGGCTAGAAACCACTCGATGATATTGTAGCTGACATTGAGCACCCGGAGCTGGGTCAGGTTGAAGTCCACAATGCACGTCATGTAGTTGTAAGCAATGTTGAGCCTCTGCAGCCTCTGCAGCCCTTCAAAAGCTTGGTCAATCTCAAAGATGTAGTTCCTCTCCAGGTTCAGCTCCAAGAGCTGCGTCAGGTTGGTGAAGACGGAAGAGTCCAGTCTCATGATGACATTCCTAGCCACGGACAAGGACTCCAAGGAAGACAGGTTGCTGAGCAAAATAGATACCATGTACTCAGTGAGCTGATTTCCAGCTAGATCGAGCGTCCTCAAGGCTGGCAAAGCGGAAAGAGCAGCTGCTGTTAGTGAGTAGTTGGTAAAGAGGAGGTTGTCTGCCAAGGATAGCACGTGGAGGCCCTGGCAGCCCAGGAAGGCACCAGGCTCGATGAGCTCCATCCGGTTTTTGGTCAGGCTGAGATGCTTCAGCTGGTGGTATGAGAGCAGAGAGGCACGGCCCAGGACCCGGATAGTGTTGTCATCCAGCAACAGCTCTTCAATGTCACCTTGCAGATTTCTAGGGACGGAGCTCAACCATTTCCTCCTGTAGTCTGCAGTGCTCTGCACCTACAGCAAGAAGGGGACATGCAACACCTCACTGTGAGGCATGGGATGGGGAGATGATAAGTCTGGGGATAAAAGTGAGACAGAGGTGATTCCTCACGTAAAGCCTCATTGTCCCACTCCAAACCTTAGCTCCAGTGCTAGGCCAGCAGCTGGGAGGGGGAAGTCTGGAGAAGCTGAGGTGCCTGGGGCTTGTAGGGGAGAATCAAGAGGTGGGAAGGGCAAGGATTTGCAAGAGAGAGGACTTACGTGCTCACAACCACCAGGAGACACGGCCCACGCTGCGCCCGCCCCATCTCCCCATCCTACTGCCAGAAGGACCAGGAGCAGGGAGAGAACAGGCAGCGGGGCCTCCATCTCAGCAGCAGCTCTCCTGTGGGGACAGAGAAGTCAGGAGCTGCAGCACAGTCAGCTCAACAGCATCCCCAGGGCTCGCAGGACAGCAACGGTCTTCCTGCCTGCAGCACTTGTCCACCACAAGCTGCCCAGCTAACACCCACAGCACAGGGACCCCCATGGGACAGGAGAAAGCGAGGGACAGGGCAACACACAGGGAACACCGCTCTACAGGGCAGATATCACCCAACCACAGCCAGCCTTCCCAGAGCTTGCAGCCTCCTCCCCAGTGCCAACACTCCAATCCCAGTACTATCTGGGGAAGCGCTGCTTTTCAGCACAAGGGCCCATTTTGCTTATTTTGTGGGTCAGGAGCTGCCAGCATTTGCATCTGGGGAGAAAGCTGAAGCTCAGGCAAATGAGCAATGAGGGCTTGCCGAGGGCTCGGCCTTCTCATAGCTGCTGGTGCTTGAAGAAGCGATCGGAGGTTATTTTTGGCAGCCTGGGGAGCAAGAGCCTCAAGGCTGGAGGTAAGCCTGGGACACCTCCTGGGTTATCTCTGTCCTTGGGACAGCTGAAAGAAGGAAGCCGATACCATATCCAGGGGGGACCAGAGAAAGACCCCTTTGTCCAGGTGAAAGCTAACACCCCTCTGAGCCTTCAACCTCCCTGCCAGGTCCGTGTGGTGTCCCCACCATAGCTCCGCTCTCCAAAAACCCAAGGGTTTCAGCTCCAGCTTGGCAGCAGCACCCAAACTGCTTTTCTTTTCCCCCACCACTGCCTTGTTGCTGCCCAGCTTTGGCCTCCCCTCTCCATCCTCCCACATTTTTGGGGGGCAGCTACTCACCACCCGTAGCAGCGCGCGGGTCCTGCAGCAGCTCATCCTGCGGCCCGCAGCCCCTCCACTGCACTGGGGGGTTCTGTGGGGCCGGGGTCGGATGCAAACCAACAAGGTGTTCTCCCACCCGCTTTCTGCTGAGCGCTAAGACGGGCTTTGCGGAAGGAGCGAACGGAAACTGCAGTCACATGGAGGCAGAGAGCGCGGCGAGGCGTTCACACCCCAGGTCGTGCACCCGCAGGCAGCCCCAGCTGCAAGGAGGAACCACGGGGTGGGGGTTGTGGGCAGGGCCCCAGGACTCAGCGGGACCAGCCTGGGGCTGCTCGTGGTGGTTGGGTTCAACCTCACCGCATTTCCTGCAGGGGAAGAAGAAAGGGACCAATATCGTTCTCAGCATTCCCAAACCCAGGCTCCCCAGATTCTGGGAGCCTGCCTCAGGACAGCAGCACCCAGCCTCTTGCAGTGCCCGGGTGAGATTGGGATGCTCAGGGTCCTCTGTGGCTGCTCAGGATTTGGGCAAACGGTGCAGGTCTGCGCCAGCCCAATGCAGGAAGCTCCCAACCAATGTGGAAGTCAATGTGAAGGTGTGCTGGACAGCTCCTGCCCTCCTTTCCCACTGCGAACCTCCTCAATCCCCCTCCCAGAGACGTTGCTGTCTGGGTGACCCCAACCCATTGGACGTCTGATCACAGCAGCCCCCACGCTCTTGCAGCCAGCATACATGACCTGGGAGATTTTTCTTTTTTGCTTTTACCCTGAATTTCATTTCTTCTCTGCTCAGTGCTCCCACATTACTCACAAAAAAAGGCCCCATGGTTTCATTTCCTGCATTTTCAAGGAAGTTTGAAGTCTAAAAATCAAGAAGGAAAAGAGAGAAGCACTCAGCGTTCAAGCGAACCAGAGCAGATGTCAGAAACTCCGCAGTGGGGCAAAATTCCCAGGGTGTTACTCGAGGTCACCAGCACCAGCAGACAGCTGCAGACCCCTCCTGGTCCCCAGCCCACCACAAGGACACTCACCCAGTGGGAGAAGGGCAGGAGCTGGCAGGGGGTGGCCTCAGGGCTGGGAGGTCCCGCAGCGTCCTCACCACACATCATCCTTGGAAAGAGGGGATCTGGAGAAGCCTATAATGCTGAGTATTTCTTCGCAGGGCAGACTGCTCAGAGTGGAGTACGAAGCTTGCTGGCTCATTCGCCTTCACAGGTTCTCACAACAACAGCTGCAGTCGCCCCGGGGAGGTGGAAGGAAATAGCCCAGCAGAGCAAAGGGAACCAGGTGAGCCACCAGCATGAGCAGCTGCAAGCATAAAACCTTCAGGTTGGAAAACAGAGGCTGTTTGGCTGAGGACATGGCCTCCAATGCAGAGTGACTGTGAGAGAGGATCCCTCATTTAACCCAGGGCCCAGAGGGAAGGCAGAAATAGGTCTCAGTAGAAAGCAAGAGGCCATTTCTGGAAGCATGGGGTGGGCAGGAAGAGAAGAGGGGTGCTGGTCAGTGGCCTGGCCACATCCACTTCCCAGCTCCCACACCCATCCTTGGACCGGCTCCAGCACTGCGGTCTGCGCTCTTCCGTCTCCCACCTCCACCAACGTAAGCAAGGAGGAAGTGGGCCAGGGATCAGGGAGCCACAGAAGCCACCTCATTTCCCCCACACTCCCCCAGCGGCCAGCATGAGGGCTCAGCACCGCAGACCTGAGTGCCGATGTGGATGTTCTGCAGAACTGCTCACAACGCACCCGTGGGAGCAGCGAGAAGGGAGAACTGCTGGCCCTTCCTCCCAGATCTCTGCAGGAGCTGCAGGCCTTGCAAGTGAGCTGCTCACACCCACGGTTCGCTGTTTGCTTGTACGTTGCCCACACTTCCTCATAGGGCTGCGTGATGTGGACACACTGATCTCAGCTTTGTATCTGATCTCTGTGGCACTACCCCAGCACATTTACCCACAGTTTTGGCGTAAACCTGTCACAACCAGAAGCTCTGAATTCACCCAAAGGAAGAGGTACTGATGAGGCACTCCATGACATCACCCAGCAGTGCACGCTGGCACGACCCCAGCTCCCCTCCGCAGCCCTTTCCAGCTGCTGTTCTGCTGAAGAGAAGTGAGAAATTGTGTCATTAAAGCAAAGGGAAGTGAAACCATCTCAGCTCTTGACAGAGCATGCCCCCTCTCTGCTCTCCTGCTGGGCATATTCCTTGTCTAACGTAAGAAAACAGAGCAAACTGCCGGGTCAGGGGCTCCTATTTAACAAAGCCCAATCTGAAGTGACACCATCATACCTCAGAGCTCATCCCTGCAGCCACAAATGGAAAAGGCTCAGCGTGGGCTTTTGGGTCTCAGTTTGAGGTTGTCCTCCTCCCAGACACAAAGACTCAGCACAGGAACACAAGAGCTCAGGGAGATGTGTCAATGAATGCAGCAGATCCTCCTTTCCTATGCTCCACTGTGAGTTGGCCCCTTTTCCCAGATAACAGTGATAGGACAAGAGGCAGTGGTTCCTAAGTAATGCCAGGGGAGGGTCAGGTTGGATATTTGGCACAGGCTGCCCAGGGGGTGGTGGTGTCACCATCTGTGGAGATGTAGCACTGAGGAATGTCATCAGCAGGCACGGTGGGATGGCTTAGGGTTGAACATGATCTTAAAGTTCTTTTCCAACCTTAATGATCCTGTGATCTTCACACTGAGAAGAGCAGCTGAAAGTCTTCATTTAACAGCTAAAGGTGAAATACAAATACCTCTGTTTGTTCTCCAGACTCACCAGGGCTCAGGTGACCATCTCACATGAGATCCAGAGAAAACCATTCAACCAACTGTGCACAAAACCCTACAGAAAAACCAACAAAAACCCAGACCAGTGCCATGGAGTGGGGCAGCCCCTTCTCCCCATTCCTTCTTGGCCTCATCTGGACACTCGCTGCCTGCTGCTGAAAGAGACACAGAGGCTGCAAAGCTTTACCCACTGCAGTATTCAGGATACCACACAAAAACCATTTTGGTCAATATCTTCTTCCTTATTGGCAGGTTTGTCCAGCACTCAGAAACACAAAGTTACATACTGATAGCCCTCAGGAAAGCGGACAGAGCCCACCTTCACGATTACTACTTAAAAGCTGTTGGTCTCCTAAGCATAGAATGCTGAAGGAACACCCCATGCCCCCACCTGCAGGCTCTCAGCTCCCAACCACTGACATCTCCCTAGCAGTGGAGCTTCAGCCAGCACCGTGCTGTGAATGGGCAGCAGGGGGTTGTAGCTGGAGTGCAACCCAGCTCCGCTTGCTTCCTTATTTGATGGGTCTGGGGAGGGAGCACACCCAGCACCTGCTCACCTGCATGGGTTGCAAACAGGTCTGTGCTTCTGTTATCAATCAGCTTTGTCTTGCCTCCATCCTCAGCTCACCAGCTGCAAACCGGAGCTGATGGGCTGATCCAAACAGACACAGCAGGTACTGGGGCTGACAGTGCGTCTTACTGCTGGTCCCTACCTGAGCGTGAAGGCATGCAAGGGAATGACACTGTAGCTGTGGCATACACACTGTTGTAAAACAGCTGTTTTCACATCTGCCTCCGGCTTTAATGCACACCTCTAAGGATGTGAACACTCCTGTGAAAATGAGAGCAGGTTCGTGACCTGAAATCGTAAGTTCAAGAAAGGATTAAAAAAATAATAAATCACTTTGGCAAACACACAGTGAAGCACCTGGGGACACAGCACAGGTACTGAGCAACAAAATGCTGCAGGCACACCAAGGTCCCACAGCAGCCAGTCCTTACACACCCTGCGTGCTGCTGTCTGGATGAAGTGAGTGAGGTTGAGCTGCAGAAGCCGGGAGCTCGCAGGAAGATCAGGCACTTCATACAAAAGACAAGAGCAGACAGGGTTACACCTTTGTACTTTCCTCCATTCAAACACTGCCTGCAGGTAAACACAGAACCAAAGAGCCTTTAACAATAGAAGAACAGTCTGGATTAAAAGTCAAAATAAATCAAGCAAACATGAAACAAACCCAGCTAGCTTGCAACAGATCTGCAAGTGCAGGCATGGCAGGAAAGACACCTTGTTCTTGTGGCTTGCAAAACTGCAGAACAAGCAACACTTGTAATAATATACAGCAAGTTCTATTTTAAAATCCACTTTCAACCACTGCTGTTGGATGGAATACATTCAATCATCTTTTGATGGCTTCACTTTGGTGACAGATGCCTGAAGGGATGGAAAGCAGTGTGTGACAAAGCAGATCAGATCAATATGGGACTGACAGTACCTGAGCCCCCAAACCTCCTCTGCTTCTGCAGGTGACCTTGGGCTCCCAGCTCACCCCATAACCTTAACCTAACCGCAGGACCAAGAGTTCCAATGAAGAAGTATATTTCAAAAGTGATAAAAAACAAAAGGAGAAGGGGATATTGAATACCAGCAGAGGTTCTGCATAAAGCATTAATGTTGCACAAACCTTCAGCTGTTCCATTCAGTGCTCCTACAGCACTGTTCACTTTGCCCTCTGCTGGGAGGTGTGAGAATTCGTGCTGAGGTCCCACCATCCCCAGAACAGAGTGAAAAATGCTGCGTTGAGGAGATTCAGCAAATTCAGCATCATCTGAAGGAAAAGCCTTCGGTATTTATTTACCACTTCATTAATTCTCCCTTTCAACTAAACTAGACCTTAGTGCCAGGCAGTCTAGGATAATTTCAATAAAACAAACACATCATCCTCCTCACCGCTTCAAAACTCGTTGTGTCACTGTGAAAAGGATCGTGGAACACATCTCAGCAGTGCAGTTTCCTGGCTGCAGATTTCACAGCACTGTCTGCTCTGTGCAAGAGCCAGTCCTGTGCCGACACAGAGCAGCACATGCAGCACTCATGGCCATGCTCCTGCCGGTGTCCAGGGCTATTTATAACATGCCAGCCTTGTGGAATTGTGGAACACGTACTTGGAGGCTGTCAGATCAGCAGGAAGTTCCTTTCTACGCAGAGGCTGAGGAGAGGCAGATTCCATAGGCTAACAAAGGGAGAGAAGAGGAAGGGAAATAAACCACAGTCCCTAACACCTGAGGAAAGGGAGCACTTCCAAGTCCTAAACTTTAAGCAAAGTGTAACAAACCAGAAGCTTACGTCCAGTTGAACAGCAATATTCCATCTCGCTGGACAAAAAACATAAAGCTCACACAGGTAATAAAGTCAAACTGAGAAGAAATTTAAAGACTTGGCCAAAACTGAGATATCAATATGGAAATGTGAGGGGCTCGGGAATTGCTGAAGGCTGGTTGCCTCTCATACAGCTGCTCTTACATCTCTTTTCTCTAGGTATGACCGAACTCTTCCCAGGACAAATGTTATTTTAATTCATTGCTGCTGTCATCATCTCTGTGAAAGTGGAAGAGCAAAAATAGAGAAAGCCATCTGGAAAAGACATCCACGTTTCAAGGAAATTCAGAAATACAGCTCAGCAGTACAGGGAGAGAAAATCTAACGTGTTCCAGTTGGCTGTGGGACTCAGAGGCAGAAGAACACAGCTACATCCGCAGCAACAGAAGCTCAGCCTGTGCACGGACACACAGACACAGCCCATCACATCACAGCCATCTGCTCCCCTTTTGTCACCTGAAACATGGCCAAAAATTACAGCAGCAAATGGCATTTGCTTGCAGCAAGCTCATACAGGACTCCCAGAAATGCATGCACCACTGCATTTTAAGTAGAAAAAATGCTTCAAGAGAAATCTCCCCAACAGAGTGAGTTGTTTCCCCACTGATGAAGAAATGCCAGATATCCTAAAGGACTGTGAAGCCTATACAAGACTGATCTACGTAAGCTATGGGCAGCTGATGTTTCTCTTGGCCAAAGCAGTCAGATCACACACTGGGAAGGGAAAATACTCCACGCAGTTGTTCACTTGACTCCAAAGTAACTCACAGAATCCCTTCTTTCCAGCACATTTTTGGCTTACCAACATGAGACCTCTTCTCTTCTGAACACCCTCATGGAGACATCAGCCAAAAGCTCAGCACTTAAAAGCAAATTCTCAATGATTTTGGAAAGTGCTTCAGAGCTCCCGACCACAACACAGTCTCCCCTGGTTATTGATTATGGCTGTTCCAACTTGCACAGCATCTCGGCCCTCTTTTGTTGTTTGTTTTCTACGTGATCTGCCATGTGTGGTTGGGTTGGAGATCCCCCCCCAGCCTGCAGCCTGTTGCCACAGCTTCAGGTACTTTTCAGCTGTTTGGACCACAGCCATACACATGCATTTGGAAACGGATCACTCTGAAAGCTCCATGAGCTACAATGCCATTTCTTACCCCCACAAGCTACCAAGAGCACATCTGAGCTCTCCTTGATGTCTCCCATCTAACAAAACCACAGTCCTTGTGTGAGCTACACCCTACACAGGCTGCGTGAAGCCCAGGCATTAAATTTGCAATCAATCTGCTTTGGCAAATCAAGAACTTGGTATCACAAGAGTGAAGTTCATGCCTACAGAGCACGGTCTGTGGGCTTCTTGCAAGATGGAATTCCTCTTTGCTGAACCTGGAAAAGGCAGAAAGCTTGCCATTGAAACTGAGAGCAGAAAAGGGGTATTTGCATGGCTCGACTGCTCTTCCATTGTCCCCTAGCAAGTACACAGGCTCTGTGTACATTTAAATCATGTCACATAGAGCTTATCGCTGCATGCTTCTGCACACAGGTGGGAAAGAAAAGCAAAACCACCAAAAACAGCACATAGAAGCCACTCTGCTCAAAGCAGCAGCAGAAATGCACTGGGTGCCCATTCCAAGAACTTACCCAGAACAAAGCAGCACAGCCTGAAGCCAGCCCAGCCCAGCAGAACCTAACACAGCATCTGTGCAAGCACCAAATGAAGCCCAGGAGGCACCACCCACTCTAGGGTCAGCAATTCTTATAGTTAAGGCTGGAAAAGCTGCAAAGGAAGAAGAAAAAAATATAAGCAGGAATACCTCAGCATTGGGTCTGACTACACACATTAAATCTTATGCCTGCTAGATCCTCATCACACCAAAACAGTCCTAGAATGGGGACAAGCTCAGGAGAGCCACAGAGAGGAGCACACTGGGTGCAGTGTGCAGGGGAGAGGAGAGCTGCCTCCCACATTCCTTGTTCTCCTGCAAGATAAGGTTGTGCAGGCTGCCAGACCCCACTGCCTTGTCTCCTCCTGTGCCCAGTGCTCAGGTCATTCCCAAATCACTGTTCCAGCTGTGTGAATCTGTTCAGTACTCTAAACTTCTCCTGTAAATCCCCTTTTTCCCCCTCCCCAAATGTGATCTCGATATCTGCTTCCTTCTCGGTACACCAAGCCTGAAGCATAGAAGATGAAGAAAGATGGTTTCAAAACGATTTACCAAGTGGGAAGAGCTGCAAGCAAACAGCTGTCTGGTTAGTCAAAATATATTGGTGGAGAAGAGTTAAATTGGAGCTGGTAGCACAAATACCCTAAATTGTTCATACCTAGGTCTGCTATCTCCTGTCTCAGTGTAATTTTTAAGGATGGTGAACAGGAAGTCAAAAAGCACCTCCCAAGGCACCTCCTGCAACAGCAGGGCAGCACTGAGCACACAAACCTCTTCTGGTGCCCAGCAGTTCATACTGGAAGACCTCCAGCTGTGAAAAGGCTGTAATTCGATGAGCACAGCTATTGAGCTCCCTGTAACCACCCTCAAGGTTCTCCCTTCCTGAACAGTCACGCAGCAAATCACACAGCCCCAGCACCACCATCCTCCTCAAGATAAGAAGTTTTGTTCTGCCACACCAAACCGCTGCGGAGGTCGTTGCAACAGTACACACAGATGAGTCCTTCTGAATTATAGCAGAGTTTATTTTAATATTTTGTACAGCCAGCATTGGTCTCCAGGAATAAGTTATAGTTTTACGTGAGTCCCCCCCAAACCCACCCTTAAGGAATGTTCAGCTTTCACCACATCTAATTTAGAGGGAAATAATTTATAGGGTAAGACGCAGTCTGAAGAATGGAAATCAATCTTCATTTCATGAAACTCCTCCGAAGTTCTCAGGGTTTACTTACATCTAATTGGATTCACGACCAAGCACAGCAGCCACGTCTGATTGAGAACAGCTCACACCTCAGCAAAGATCTTATTCTGTGAAACAGGACAGGATTTTGTTTCCCATCTCCCTCCTCACACCACGCAGTTCTGCCAGGCACACGTGAGCCCTGCAGTTTAATCCAACCAACGCTCATAACTGGTTTTCCAGAAAGGTACTCACTTGGTGTCGGTCTCACTTCATCAGCCAGTTGCTCTCAGTACCATTTAAAACATCATTTCTCACCGTATCGTTTGTTTCTTTAACACAGCCAAGAGAAATTCAGCTTGATACCAAACCGCCTTTAAGCACTAAGCAACACATAAAACAAATAAATACTATAAATCCTTTTAAATGGTAATAATGCACATTCTCCGTTCCAGTGCAGAACTTGGTTATTTACTGTGTAAAAAGCACTGCAAGGACAGCTCTTCAGCAGCACACGAGGCATCTCAGTTATCTGCTTTCCTCCAATTGCTTGAATAAAGAGGGGAAAACAAGCAATGGCCCAAGAGACATTCCTCTTGCTCAGAGAACTGTCAGCAACTGTGAGATGAAGCAGCTCACATTCTCCAGCACAAAACTAAGACGAGGCTGCACAAAGACTTCATTCTCCCCCTCCTAAAATCACACCATCGATAACTGAAACAGCCTGCTTTGCTCTGGGAAACACCAGAAAGAAACGGGTGCTGAGAGCCAGGCAGGCACACAGCTCTCAGATTTTAGTGCCCCACCAAAGGATCCCTCCTGCAGTGCCCACAGACAGGATTGACTGGAAAGCATAAGGATGCTTCTAAAACCTTGTATTTTTGACGTGGAAACGAAGATGAGCTCAGCACCGTGCTGCAGCTTCCTTTCTTAAAGGTGGACCACAAATTTCGGAAGAACAAAACTTCCAGGACAATTTTGGTTGTGTTTCCTACGGAGAACAGAGCTATTGCTGAAGCTATGGAAGCTTTCAGCTACACAGAAAATGAATCCACGCAGCACCGTACTCCACAAGGGCATTCCCAAATGCTCTACAACACAACAGAAGAAGCACACTTACATGAACGTTATTCAAAGTTTTCCTGAAGCTCCTTCAAGAAATTATATCCCAGTTAGAATAAAGCAAACCCTTCCTTTTGATTTAACTGTTCTTTTCCACGTGTTCCATATATACAATTCTTAAAATACACTTAAAAATAGCTGCACACATTTGATATCGTTATACCAGAGGAGGGCAGCCTGGACAGACAGCTCTTCTCAGTATGTTAAAAACTGTAAATAAAACCCAACCAGACTCGCTCTCCCCGGTACCCACGTCAGCCCCGAGGAGGGAAGGGAAGGGGAGGAACAAGCAGTTTTAAAATGGGAGTCTTTCACAAAACACACTACTTACAAACCTCGGGTTAATTTCCGCAAGCAGTTTTATATCAAATCCTTCCTTAAATATCTGAGGTCACACACTGCCATCCTAGCAATGAAATCTGTTGCAACATGCATGTGTCAGCTTCCCACTCAATCAACTGCGACCCTGAGGATTTTTCTGGCCTGGTAGAAAGAGGAAATGTAACAATTCCTGAAGTATGGCTGGTCCTCCGTTTCAAAATTCCGTATGGTTTCCTCGATGGTTCTTGGACACACACTTATTTTTTTCTCTAATACATGTTTCCCTCTAACCAACATGCAGATTTCTCCTCCCAGTCATCCACATCGTGACGTCCCAACGAAACCATCCGTCATCCATCCAAAGGTTTTCCCAGGTAGACCAAAGTCACTTCTGTGTTACCGTACACGGCAGACACTGCTGGATACAGGCAAACTTTGGGCAGTCCTCTGAACGCAACTCCCAAGAACTCGTAGCCCCTCTCAAACGCTAACGTTTTGTCTTCCATGTCCAGGATAACTCGAATCCTTTCGCCTATCTGGAAACAGAGATGGGAAGAGAAGGGAGAAGAAACAAACGGGGAAAGAGTCAATATATTCAGATGGAAACACCGGAAAAAACAAAAAACCACCAAAGCAAAATCCATGGATAATACAGCAGAACAGATTAAAGCAAGGCTTTCCTTGGTGCTTTCACAACAGAGATGTCTCCATTCCTCTTGTATGGACCCAGTATATCTGCTGCCTGCTCCAGCGGGCAGCCCAGGCCTAACCACCCTCACAACACTGAACACAGCCCTTCACAAGCAGATCTTGCAGCAGCACAAGCAAGAGCACTGCTCCAAAACACCGCAGGAGCCTGAAAATGTTGTAATAGCTCCAAGTTACCGGGGCTCTGTTGCAGGCAATGACCAGTAGAGTCTACGAAGAGCAACGTTAGACAAGTTGTTTTAGAAAGGTAAATGCCAGGTGCAGAATATTCCCAGAACGTACTTCTGATGGCAGGAGTGCTATCACTGACAGGGGTGCTCCCTTACCAAGGCAGAAAAATAATTCAGTGCAAAGCTTTGGCAAAATGGGTACGCAAAACCTACAATACAGATATACACATGTGAGTAAAACCAATGCTGAATGCAGGGTGTACAGGATGCTCGCTGTGTTTATCCTATGCTTGTTGCTTTCAAATATAAACAGAAGCGAGAAGCACCAGCAGCAAATGCAGCATGAGATAGCACAAACTTCTGGTTCTCCACCAGACAACCGCAGCGCCGGGGATTCCTTCCAGCCAACATATTTTTCTTCTAACCAATGCTAACAAGTGTGTATTTCCCTTCAGTACATATTCCATGAGCAGATGACCGTATGTGTATGACTCTGTGATTCTATGTCTTATCAAATATAAAATGCTTTAAAGGATTGCTGATTCAAGCCCTCACCAATTCTTAAGAAGGAAGCATTGACTGCAAGCACGGCTCAGCCTGCAGTCCCCATGGGAGCTCTCCTGGCTTTAAAACCCCTCCTCGTCCTGCTGTGCAGAAAGGCCCAGACGGGCAGCAGGAACGGATTGCCAATGGGCAGGGCTGGAAAGGGCCAATTCATACATTAGGAAACGTGAAATCTGCATCTCTTTGATCCGCATTTACTTATTAATTGCAAAAATGGCAGGTATCATTTCCAGATTGAACTAAGCGCTTGGCAGTGAGCTTTTATGCGAAATTTAGAAATATCAGCCTTGAGTTAATGCCAAGATCTTCATGTACAGCTGAAGCACAAGGCGTTATTCATCCCAAACCACGACGCTGTGAGATGAGGATTATACTGCAACACAGCTGAAGACGCAACGTGAGGAAAACCATCAGTCAAAAGGCGGCCGTGCGAGCGGCCTGGAGAACAAAGATAAAACACCCACAGCGAGACGGAACAGCACAGCGGCACCTGTGCTTCCATAACCCCAAATCACCCACACGTCAAAAGGCTGTCACCTATGGGAGGGAGCCGGCAAGCAGCGCCTGGCACGGCCTCTGCTCACACCGCCAATAGGGGCACAACACCCACCGACAGCAGCCCCGAGAGCGGTGTCAGCTTTTGTTTCCGAGGGGGAGGCGGCGTTCCAACGAACACCCACTCGGTGTTTGAGAAACAAAGGAAACGGGCGCAGAGGAGCGTGGCCGCCCCGTCCCTGGGGGTCTCAGGGCCGGGCTGGACGGGGGCCCCGCGCAGGCTGAGCTGGGGGGCGGCCAGCCCACGGCACGGAGGCGGCGGGCGGGCTTAAGGTCCCTCCCGACCCAGCCGTCCGGGGGCCGCGCGGACGGCCGCGAAGCCGTGAAGGTGACGCTTCTCCCTCCCGCACGGAGACGCCGGCGGAGGCCCGCCGCCCGCTCACCTGGTACTTGGGCGCGTTGTTGCACTGCGGGAAGCTGCCGTTGACCTCCCCGTTGTGCAGCAAGTTATTGTCCACCAGGTTCCAGCCCCAGCTCTGGTCGTCGCTGCCCAGCAGGGCCACGTAGCCCTGGCACTGCATGGCCGCCCGCTTCGTGGCGATGCCGATGACGGCCACGGTGCCCAGCGGCCCTTCCCACCACACCTCCCAGGCGTGGCGGCCCTCGCTGAAGCCGATCTTGGTCCTGGCGCCGTCGGTGCTCTGGGCGATGGGGTTGCGGTGCAGCGTGAAGCCGTTCTTCTTGATGTAGACGTTCCGGGAGCAGTCGTTGGTGCTGAAGGCGTGGTGGAAGGCACGGACCTAGGGCGGGGAGCCAAGAGGGGTCAGTCCGCGGGAGGCGTCACCGCCGCGCGGGGCCGCGCCGGGCTCACCTTGCCCTTGTAGGTGGGCACGTTGCACAGGATGT